CTTATTAATTGATACATTAAGTATCATTTGCACCTTTTTACAAAGGTGTGTTTGAACTAAGAAACTGATGTTTCCTTCAGGCTGTAGATCTGCTGATTATCAAATGGTACCATAGCTTCATGTTTTTATTTCTCTTCTTTTTACTGCCTAAGCTTTAACCCTTTTCCTATACCAACTGTATGTGTGTGTGTGTGTGTGTATGTGTATGTTAGACTAGTTTAAGTGTTTATGTAGTTAATAAAGTCTTACTTGTATCACACTTGACGTGGTTCATTGTTTGCTCATAACTGGAGTCCCTAATCATGCAGATTTTTGCTACATGCTCTGAGTAGTATTGTATAGTAAGAAAGTTATTTTCCTTAACCAGGAAATTAACGTTCTTAGAATTAACAGACAGTTGACACTAAGAGGTCAAATGAATGCTTACAGCGGATCTAAATATTTATAATTAATTATAACTAGTTATGATTAATTATGCATATTCCCCCTTTGAGCTGATTCGCTACAACATTATTAACTTACCAAACCACCACCAGAATGCCTTTGGCGATGTTCTAAATGCATTATATACAAACATGCCAAAAAAATATTGAACTGTCATGCATGCATTCATTTGTCTGTTAACAGATGTATTTGTGTAAGATGTTGCACTACACATAACTGTAACTGAGAATACTTATTTCTCTGAACAAGTATGAAATGTATGTGTTGTAGTTTGTATCAATGTTAGGGTTACAAAACAGTTATTAATGACTGGGTCTTTGTGATCTTTCTGTGTTTCACCCACTTCTGCTGCATCCAGAGGTTCTAAGGAATTTTTATGGCAGCCACAGGCCAAAACCTTAGGAATTAGTCTCTAGATAGGTGAAGGGTAGAAACTGCATGTGGATCAATGAGAAGTCCCGGGCTTGGTACCAGAGGACTTCTTGCCCTCTAAGACATGTCTGGCCACCATCCTAGAAATTTATCTTATGGTGTTGAACAGTTTGTTTGTGTTAGTCCACCAATCAAAATGTAGCAGACCCTTTGTCTGATGTGACAGAGAGGGGCCTGGCCATAAATTAGGCCCTGGAATGTGCTGTCCACCTCAGGACTGTCTGCCCCTCTAGATAATACAGGGCATCCGTTCTTCAATCAGTCCCCTGTTCAAGATATTCGGTTGTTCCCTGCCAGCAAGCTGTTTCAGGGCATCAAAGAGAGTTATTCCCCCCTTTTGTTTCAAAGTATCAGAAGCAACAAGTACATGATACCCCTTATACAGGATTGGGCAGTGTGGAAATGTCAAATGAATAACCTTGAGTTCTTTTGACTACAGAAAAAGGTTGCACAATTCAGCTCCTCAAGTTTTCATCTCGCTTCAAATGGACTAAGGGACCATAAAAATGTATCCTTTCCTTAAGAGAGTCAGCCTTTATAGAGTGGGGTAACTATGACATCCGAACCCGGAAGTGTAATTAAAGCCTGTGGAAAACATAACTTGACGATACTTTTACGTTTTGTTCTACAATGTAAACTGCACACACTCACAGCCCAAATGTTCTTATCTAGTTACTTATAAAAAAACATACGTTTTCAAAAATTAACATGACTGTTTCAAAATTTGTGTTTTGGGTATGGATGCGTGTAATTTACGTTGTAGAACAAAACATAAAAGTATCGACAAGTTGTTTACCACAGGCTTTATTTTACTCATAAATTGAAAAACCCCAATATAAAACCCCATAGTAAAATCTTGAAGGAACCCACGGTGAATTACACTTCCGGATTCTGACGTTATAGTTCCCCCAATCTATTTTCTTTGTTCACTGGGCTGGATGCTATGGCACAAACATGGCCGAAGGCTGCATCTGTATGCATTGCAAAGTATTTTTGCTTACTAGATGGGATTAGATTCTAAAGGTGCCCTCTTCTACTGCTCAGTCAGTCTTGTTTCAGGCCGTTCAGTCGTCGGAGCAAGAAAGGCTTAATCTATTGTGCCCAGTATGAGCCCTCGGGATTTACATGGACCATTTTGACCAGAGGCACATATCCAGTCAGTTGTTGGTATGTTTTGGTGGCTGCAACAAGGGTACTTCAGCTACAAAGCAACACATCACAGCGGATAAAAGTTGCAATCTCATTGGCTTATGAGGCGCTACAGTAGATTTTGTCGACTGAAAATCGAATGGCTTTATTTACAGTGTAATGCATTTATTAAGGATTTTGCTAAAATTTCCAAACTCATTATATATTCCTGGAAAAAACATCTATTAACCTGGGGTGCGTTTCCCGATAACGTTGTCTCTTAGCGCACTACGAAGACTCTAAAAGTATATCTTAACTAAAAGTGTACCTTTTCTAGGCCTTAGGAGGTTGCTTAAGGTATACCTTCTTATGTGCGACATTAC